AATATATATAAATATATGAAAAATTGATGTGGGTATTCAAATGAAAGGTCTTGATGAGTGTAACATCGGGACGAGCTTATATCTTTGAAAATGTCAATAGTTCACAAGATACAAGGTGATTTCTTAATTATGTATCTAGAGACAGAGCATTTTCGAATGTAGCCTAAATACTTATCATCATAAATTGACTATTGGTGAGAATGATATGAAACCATGAAAAGGCACAATTTCAGGTCAAGACTATTTCAACGATACCAAATTTAACTGTAAAAACCCATTTTATCATGTATGTAAATACACTGGCCACAAAATTTTGCTTATTCTCTTAATAATATACCTAGATAAAAATAATTTTATTTTGTAATTACTTATTTAAAAAAAAATAATTGAAATTAAAAAAAAATAAATTTATTACTTGAAATAACAATAAACTCAAAAAATTCCATAAAGTTAATTATCTGAGTCTTTTTCCGTCACTAATCCATTGAAGGTGGATCATGATCTTATTTAGAGGGTTGATTTGTCTTGGAAACTTTACGTTTCTGCAATCCGAGTGGCTTTTAGGTCAAAGATTAAGATATTTAAACAAGATAACACGACCACTTTATCCTCAATTCTTAACTCAATCTTCCCCGGTGTACATAGTGTATATAGTACCTTCTTGCTTCAATAACTGTATATAATATGTCTGGTGTTTTTGTCTCAGTCCGCCAGCGCGAATGCAAATAACACGCTGGCCTGAGGATTAATTTTATCATCGTAAGCTGGTACTTCTTTATCTGAGCTAGAAGACCGTGAGGAGTAAGGAGGCTCTTAAATCTCCCAGTCTTTCCAAAAATTTTAACTGCCGCTGACTTTAAACTTTATTCTCAGACACTTTTTTTTGGTCTTTTTAATGAAGAAAATTTTTTTCTGAATCATGAGTACAAAACTCTTCAAGAAGCAACCTCAATAATAAAAAAAAAAATTATATTGTAATTTAAGATGATAATACAGTCTTTATCGATAATTTAGAATTTTTTCTTATCAAAAAACAAAATTACAAGGCAATAAACTTTTGAATCAAAAAATTCCCTCAAAAGTAATTTTTTTAAGTAAAAAATTCTTTTTTGTTAATTAAAATTTCTAAAACTGTAAATTTATGCAAATAAAACAAAATAATAATAATAATTAAAATTTCTAACAAATTTTATTTAAATTTCCACAAATCCCTTGTTTTTATAAAATTTCTCAAATAAAAAATATCTTTGGTTAAAAAAATTATCCGAAATAATTGATTATGTTTATTTTCTATAAGAGAATTCAGAAGTTTTGAAAATAATTGTAATTTTGTTATTTTTAATTAGTTTTTTTAATCAGGAATCATTAATATGCAATTTAAAAAAAAAATTACTGGATTTTAAGACGATAAAATAGTCTCGATCAAAAATTCTTTCTTTTGATTAAAATTTCTAATAAAGTTTATTAAAATATCCACATATTTCTCGTTATATGAAATTCGTCAAATAAAAAACATCTTTGGTTAAAAAAATTATTCAAAGTAATTGGCTATGTTTATTTTCTATAAGAGAATTAAGAAGTATCGAAAATAATTGTAATTTTGTTATTTTTAATAATTTTTTCAATCAAAAATTATTAATTTGCAGTTTAAAAAAAAATTTCCTGAATTTTAAGACGATAAAATAGTCTTGATCGATAATTTAGAATTTTCTTTTGTTAAAAAATCAAATTACAAGGCAAAAAACTATCGAATTAAAAAATTCCTTCAAAAAAATTTTAATTAGATAAAAAAATTTTTTTTTAAATCAAAAAAATTCTTTTTTTTCGATTAAAATTTCTAACAAAGTTTATTAAAATCCCCACATATCCCTCGTTTTATCAAATTGTTCACATAAAAAATATCTTTGGTTAAAAAAATTATTCAAA